GCGTCTTCCTGCTGAACGGCTCCGGTAACGGCTCCGTGTCCGGCGGCGGGGCGCCCTCGGCGGCGGGCAGCGCGGCTCTCATCTCCTCCATCTACTCGGTGGTTTGCCTGGTCGGTCTGAGCGGGAACTCCATGGTGATCTACGTCATCTTCCGGTACGCCAAGATGAAGACGGCCACGAACCTGTACCTGCTGAACCTGGCGGTGGCGGACGAGCTGCTGATGCTCAGCGTGCCGTTCGTGGTCACGGCCGCGCTGCTGCGCCGGTGGCCGTTCGGCGCGGCGCTGTGCCGCCTCGTGCTCAGCGTGGACGCCATCAACATGTTCACCAGCATCTACTGCCTGACGGTGCTCAGCGTGGACCGGTACATCGCGGTGGTGCACCCGCTGCGGGCGTCCCGGTACCGGGCGGCCCACCGTGGCCAAGCTGGTGAACGTGTGCGTGTGGATGTTCTCCCTGCTGGTCATCCTTCCCATCATCCTCTTCTCCTCCACCGCCCCCAACTCCGACGGCTCGGTGGCCTGCAACATGCAGATGCCGGAGCCGGAGCGCCGCTGGATGGCGGCGTTCGCGGTGTACGCCTTCCTGATGGGCTTCCTGTTCCCGGTTCTGGCCATCTGCCTGTGCTACGTGCTGATCCTGAGCCAGCTCCGGGTCGTGGCGCTGAGGGCCGGCTGGCAGCAGCGCCGGCGGTCCGAGAGGAAGATCACGGTGATGGTGACGGTGGTGGTGTCGGTGTTCGTGGTGTGCTGGATGCCCTTCCACGTGGTGCAGCTGGTCGGGGTCTTCCTGCAGCGCCACGACCCCACCCTCAGCCAGCTGGCCGTCGTCCTGGGTTACGCCAACAGCTGCGCCAACCCGCTGCTCTACGGCTTCCTGTCCGACAACTTCCGCCGCTCCTTCCAGAGGATCCTGTGTCTGCGCTGGATGGAGGCCCCCGAGGAGCCCCTTGACTACCTGGACTACTACAGCACGGCCCTGAAGAGCCGCAGACTCAGTCTGGACCGGGACCAGCAGGAGAACCCGGTGGAGGACTCAGAGTACAGGAACCGGACCCCCCCCACAACAGCAGCTCCAGGATGTAGTCTGAGCCCTGATGGGCCCTCCAGGGTTTAAAGGAGCACACGGGGTTTTGAAGGTGTAGACCTGGACCGGAACCCTCGTGGCGCCGCTCAGAGGGGTGTTCTGGGTAACTGTAGGCTGCAAGCTGATTGGTGGATCCAACGTCCTGTCAGGTGACGTGAGGTTTTATTATTACTGACATGAACAACCTGATGATGTCACTCTGATGTCACTCTGATATTCATGAGACTCCTTCACTTCCTGTCATGAACTGACCCGCCTCCTTCAGCCTGAGTGAACTTTGACCTGTGAGAACAGCCAATCAGAGAGAGGGGCGGGGCTGAACTTCAGAAAATACTTTGTTTATATTTTAACTGCAGGTGAAACCACAGAAGAAGAAGAAGAAGGTGGTGATTGGCTGCAGCGAGTGGTGGCTGTTGTTAGCATGTTAGCCGTGCTCCTTCAGGGGAAGCCCCGCCCCCGGCTCTGACTCATACAGGTGGATTTGGTATTTATGACCTTTGACCTCACTGAAGGTACAGGTGACACCACAGGCTGAATACAGAGACAGTTTCATTCACTAATATCTGATGACACTTGGCCGTTGCCATGGAAACACGGTTTAACCATCGCAGTGTTACTGCCGCCGTTTCTTTGAAAGTTATAAATACGTCACGTCTCGATGCAGAGAAACACAGGTGCATGCTGGGATTAGCTCGGAATCGCGGTGATTGGTTTGAGTGAAACCCGCCGCTTCAGGCGTGGTCACTGGTGGGCTGCTCGTCGTCATAGAAACACTGGTGTGTGTACCCAATCAGAGCGAGACTACAGAGGGACATTCTTACTACTGTTATTATTGTTTCTTCATTAATAACGAACTGATGAACAGCTGATTTATTCAGTCAAACAGTATCAGCATCAGTTGTTACCATGGAAACAGGAGTACTAGTAGCTTTTAAATAGGGACCAATTTTAAGGAATAAATGGCAGAAGTTTCACGCCATGACTGACCGCCGTGCTGCGGCCATCTTGATGTTCAATCTGTGATGACGCTGAGCTGTCAATCAAAGTTGTTGTTGTTTAGGTTCATGAATATATTTCTAATAAACATGTGACGATCTCAGCAGAGTTCCCAGAATGCAGTTCTGTTTTTATTTCTTCTACATTTCTTCAGATTTATAGACGTTCCAAAGAAATATTCCAGCAGGAGCTGAAGCTAAACGTGAGTCTGTGATTGGCTGTTTGCTGGTGAGACCTTTCATCAGTTGGTGACGGTGTAATCTGTGATGTAATCAGTCGCCGGATCAATGATGTTGATGATAAACGCTCTTCTCTGATCAAATGTGAGGATTTGGGTTCCATCTCATCAGGAAGTCGCTCGCTGAGCTGCTGTGAAGGTCACCTGGCTGATGATGTCACAGACGCAGCTCAGGACAGGTGAGGACACGGCGACATCATTTAAATGATTAAATATCTTCGGCTCATTACTCTCACAGATCAATCCGGTTATCCGACACGGCGTCATCGCTCCTCACCAGGTGTTCACTCAGACTTAAAGGTCCGTGAAACTGTCCCAGCAGCCCCGATCTGATCCAAGACTCCAGTTCGGTTCACGTGGACGCCAACAGACAAAAGGTCGCTCCTGATAAAAGCCGCTTGCTTCCAGCTCACATGTCCTGATTACTCTGTTTGTTTCTCTAGTTGCTTCCCCGGATGTTGATCCATTAACTTCCCTCAGTCTCAACGTCACACAGGAAACCTCAACATGGCTGTGAAAGATCTGACAAACAAGAAGAAACATTCTAAACAAACCAAATAATGAAAAGACAACGAGACCCAGAGGACAGGTAGAGACCCAGAGGACAGGTAGAGACCCAGAGGACAGGTAAAGACCCAGAGTACTGGTTGGGACTCAGAGGACAGGTAAAGACCCAGAGTACTGGTTGGGACTCAGAGGACAGGTAGAGACCCAGAGGACAGGTAGAGACCCAGAGGACAGGTAAAGACCCAGAGTACTGGTTGGGACTCAGAGGACAGGTAAAGACCCAGAGTACTGGTTGGGACTCAGAGGACAGGTAGAGACTCAGAGGACAGGTAGAGACTCAGAGGACAGGTAGAGACTCAGAGGACAGGTAAAGACCCAGAGGACAGGTAGAGACTCAGAGGACAGGTAAAGACCCAGAGTACTGGTTGGGACTCAGAGGACAGGTAAAGACCCAGAGTACTGGTTGGGACTCAGAGGACAGGTAGAGACTCAGAGGACAGGTAGAGACTCAGAGGACAGGTAGAGACCCAGAGGACAGGTAAAGACTCAGAGTACTGGTTGGGACTCAGAGGACAGGTAGAGACCCAGAGGACAGGTAGAGACCCAGAGGACAGGTAGAGACTCAGAGGACAGGTAGAGACCCAGAGGACAGGTAGAGAATCAGAGGACAGGTAGAGACCCAGAGGACAGGTAAAGACCCAGAGTACTGGTTGGGACTCAGAGGACAGGTAGAGACCCAGAGGACAGGTAGAGACCCAGAGGACAGGTAGAGACTCAGAGGACAGGTAGAGACCCAGAGGACAGGTAGAGACTCAGAGGACAGGTAGAGACCCAGAGGACAGGTAAAGACCCAGAGTACTGGTTGGGACTCAGAGGACAGGTAGAGACCCAGAGGACAGGTAGAGACCCAGAGGACAGGTAGAGACTCAGAGGACAGGTAGAGACCCAGAGGACAGGTAGAGACTCAGAGGACAGGTAAAGACCCAGAGTACTGTTGGGACTCAGAGGACAGGTAAAGACCCAGAGTACTGTTGGGACTCAGAGGACAGGTAGAGACCCAGAGGACAGGTAGAGAATCAGAGGACAGGTAGAGACCCAGAGGACAGGTAAAGACCCAGAGTACTGGTTGGGACTCAGAGGACAGGTAGAGACCCAGAGGACAGGTAGAGACTCAGAGGACAGGTAAAGACCCAGAGTACTGGTTGGGACTCAGAGGACAGGTAGAGACCCAGAGGACAGGTAGAGACCCAGAGGACAGGTAGAGACTCAGAGGACAGGTAGAGACCCAGAGTACTGGTTGGGACTCAGAGGACAGGTAGAGACCCAGAGGACAGGTAAAGACCCAGAGTACTGGTTGGGACTCAGAGGACAGGTAGAGACTCAGGGATCCATACCTGGGATCTGACCTGGTGCTGGTCTAACTCCATCTAGTGGCAGTAGAGGACACTCACAGTCCGTCTCGTCCTGCAGCCAGACTCCTCAGCACACAGAGGGATTGTGGGCAATGCAGTCCTCCACCTCACCTGCTGACAGGAAAAGAAATTTTGCCTTTTTAGTGGACTCACAGCTGCTGTCAGAGGCAGGTTGATATTCATGTCTGAGGAGGTCAAAGTGCTTCATGTCCTTCAGGACGGCGGCGTCTCTACCTGCTGAACTCTGGGACTACATCCTTCACATTTAATTTATTTCATTTAAAACCAGTTTTTCTATGTGGCTTTCTTACGCACATGTTGTCTGCATTTAGTTTTCTGTCCTCATCTGAAACGCCAGGGTCTCGCAAGACACGGCGGGGACAGGAGGGAGCGGGAGGGAGGTCGGCCATCAGAGAGGCCGAATATTTTCACTTCTAAGTCAGGAAGTAATTATTTATTTCCCCCAAACAGAGCTGGTGGCTGCTGGAACAGTGGAAAGACTGACCACGAGGGTTTTATTTATATTATAGAGTTTTATTTAGTGCAGTACTGTAAGGGATTACTATTCCTAACAGAAGGAGGGAGAGTTCTGTCCACACCTGGAAGCGACACCATCACTGTGTCGTCAGCTGTGAACAATCCTACATCTGATTTAGTGAAGCAGCAACGAGAAACAGGAGAGAAGCTGCGGCGCTGAGCGGGAGGAGCTGCTGCCAGAGGAGGTGGAACCTGAGCAACACAGACGCCACAGCTTCTTCATGTTTGAATGTTTTAAACTAAATGGTACACACCGCGCCTTTAAGAGAAATCTGGTGTTTTGGGCTCCAATCATCAGCGTTAAACGCATTTTACAGGAGGAGGAAGATAAATGTGTTAAATGTGACAACATGAAGACAGATCCCTACATCTCTAAGCCACGCCCACTCCCTGTCTGTAAATCACGTCCGCTCCCGGTCTCCAAACCACGCCCACCCCCCGTATGTCAACCACGCCCACTCAGTGTATGTAAACCACGCCCACTCCCCCCCCCGTCTGTCAACCACGCCCACTCCCCGTCTCCAAACCACGCCCACTTTCGAACTACAAACCACGCCCACTCCGTGTATCTAACCATACCACATTTGTGCCCAGAAACAGGTCACAACTCAGAGCAGATGAACCCGCCACAAACTCCATCAGAGTCTGGAACACAGATACCCCCATCCTGCACAGTCAGCTCAGCCTGCTCAAAGAAAGCTCCACCCAGCATGGTGGATTTCTCATGAGGCTGCTCCAGCACCTCCTGGACTCTGTCTGTCCCCCCAACCAGTGGAAGGAGTCCACCATAACTCCAGTCCCCAAAGCACCTGAGCTGGAGGATTCCCGACCAGCGGCCCTGTTACCGTCGAACACGCCGTCAGACGAACTGGATCCGCTTCACTGGGACTTTTAACACAAACCCCCTGCGGCGCTGCCTCTCTGACCACCAGGTCCACCGGCACTGATTTTATGGAGGACCGACCACTACAGCTGTTTTTAAATGGTCTTAAGTCCAGCAGACTCCTCCTCCATCTCTTCCCTGCTCACACTGACAGCCTCCTGCAGCAGTGAAGGAATAACGCCGTGGCCCAGGTGGCGCACCTGACCGGTACTGAAGCCCTGTCCCGGTACCAGCCCTGGTCCAAACCTTTAGTGAAGCTTCACTGGAGCTCAGGATATGAAAACCGAAGGTAGAGCTGAGCTGTGGGGGCAGAAAAGTGTCCGGGGTCCAGGTTCTTTTAAATATCCGGGAACAGACGCGTGCCTGTCCGTCACGCAGCACGCTGACAGAAGCTCCGCCTGCTGAGGAAACTTCATGTCAGCTCCGGTCTACTGTTCACTGAACCCATCCTCCCCTTCAACAACCTGGTCCAACGTCCTCACCACCAAACCCCAAACCAAACTCTGCTGCACAATAAATCACTGCAGCAAGATCAGAAACTCTGGAGCTCCTGGCTGTCTGTGTTTGATCCTCACTCTGAAAATGTTGTCTCCAGGTAAACCAGCAGCAGACCATCGCTGCTCCAGCAGGGGGCAGCATCCACCTGAACACCAACACCAGATCCTGCAGGTCTGCTCCCTCTGTTCTGTCCTGACATTTATCAGGACTCCTCTTCTTCCTCCTTTTTGTTTCTAGTTCATATTTAAGATTCTTGACTTTTGCAGAACGTGTTTCTTTGCGTTTTCTCCTTCTGTGTTTCTAGAGACCGTCATGCACCAAAACATGTTCAAAACCTTCTTGGCAACAAAACTGATTCTGATTGAAACAGCAGAACACGAGAACTCCAGAACCACACAGAACAGAACAAAACGGAACCACAGAGAGAACAACAGAACCACAGAGAGAACTCCAGAACCACACAGAACAGAACCACAGAGAGAACAAGAGAACCACAGAGAGAACTCCAGAACCACAGAGAGAACTCCAGAACCACACAGAACAGAACCAAAGAGAACAGAATCTCAGAGAACAGAACCACAGAGAGAACAACAGAACCACAGAAAACAGAACCACAGAGAGAACAACATAACCACACAGAACAGAACCAAAGAGAACAGAATCACAGAGAACAGAATCACAGAGAGAACAACAGAACCACAGAAAACAGAACCTCAGAGAGAACTCCAGAACCACAGAGAACAGAACCACAGAGAACAGAACCACAGAACAGAATCACAGAGAACAGAACCACACAGAACAGAACCACAGAGAGAACAATAGAACCGAAGAGAACAGAACCACACATAACTAAACAGAACAGAACCACAGAGAGAACTCCAGAACCACACAGAACAGAACCAAACGGAACCACAGAG